AGGGTGCCTCGGCTTGCTGGAGAAACAAAGAGAAACAGAAAGCAAGAAAGCACCCCCCCTGGGGGGGGTATGGTCACACCACAATCCCTTCTCCATTCTCCTCTCGGGATTTTGGGCATGCACCCACACATGCCTGGCATGAGTTTTAAGCTGCCAGGTCTAAGCCCCAAACCATGGTCATCTACATGGGCGTCCAGAGATGTAACCATTACACCATCTACTGGTCCCAGTCTGGAGATTTTTTTTTTTAAGATTATTTAACTTTATTTATTTATTTATTTATTTATTTAAATTTGAACAAAGACGGACAGAGAGCAAGATAGAGCGGGGACCAGGGGAGTGAGAAAAGAAGCCGCCAAGTCCAGAACTCGAACCACGGTAGGTCATGTGAGAGTGCAGCGCCCCTAACCACCACCTGCTAGCCCCAGTCTGGAGATTTTTAAGGGGAGAGAGGAAAAGAAACTTCTCCCTTTCCATGAAGAAAATGAGGTGAGGACATAGTATCTGACTTCAAAGGCACAGATGACCATTTACCATAACAGCTGTACTTCACTGGAAGACCAGGGGTAGCAGGATTGTACCCAGTGAAACGCAAATACAGGAATAAAAACACAATGGTAATATGAGAAAGAGTGGCTCTGCCTCCACAGCTGTAAAAACTATCATTTTGGGTCCAACAGTTGGCGTAATGACTATGTCACTGGACTCCAATGTAGTTAACGGCAGTTCAAGTCCCAGACCCAGTGGCTTGAACTCATGCCGGGCACATGTGCATGCATGCCCAAGATCCCAAGAGGAGAATGGAGGGGAAGGGATTGCGGCATGGCTATCCCCCCTGGGGGGTGATTTCTCGCTTTCTGTCTCTCTGTCTCTGTCTGTCTGGCCAGCGGACGTGCCCTATAGCAAAAACCTCTCAAAAAAAATTTATATTACCAATGTTTTGTGACTGAACTGAATTTTAAAAAAATACACATTTAAAAATATTTAGAGGACACTCATTTTTTCTTCAGGTAATAATGTAATAAAGATTGCATTGACATAGTGAAATTTCCAGGCCCCTCAGTTCTTTATGAATGGACTAAATGTCTGGTATCAATGATTGCAAAAGTATGTTGAACTTAATGAAACTTATGTTGAGATATCCAGCTTATATTGCTCTCTTTTAATTCCATTTCACCCATGAACTTTTTGAGGTTCCTGAATATGCAAGTGTACTCATTTCACCATAGTCCTGCAAGAACCGTTTTATAAAAATGTATTTATGTTATTTTTGTACTAATTGACCTGGAAACTAAACACATGGAAGCAGAAAAGCAAGATAGGAAACTTCTGTGAGAGTCAAGGCCTAAGCAAAAAGGACCTGGTTTAAGAAATTCATATTGGGACCAGCAGATGGCTTAATGGTTACATTGCTGGACTCCCAAATAGTTGATCACAATTTGAATCCCAGACCCAGTCACTTAAAACTCACACTTGGCACATGCACATATGTGCCTAATGTCCCCAGAGGAGAATGGAGAAGAAAAGATTGCAGCATGATCATCCCTCCAGGGGATGATTTCTTACTTTCTGTCTCTCTGTCTCTCTGGTAAGTGCATGTACCCTATAGTAAAAATATCTCTCTAAAAAAATTATATTAATCATCAAACATTTATTAAGCACCTTTTAATTGCCTGGCACTATACTAAATATATTAGTATCTAATTTAATTATATCAATATCTCTGCTAGGTAATATGTTATTGATCTTGATTATATAGATCAGGAATCTGATATAACATACCCAAGGTATGTGAAGTTTCAGAGCTGGGTTTCAAACATAGACTTGCTAAATGCACAGCTGTTAGAAGGAATACCAAAGAAAAGCCAGAGTTACTAGTGACCAAGAAAAAATGAGGACTAGGGAAGGTGGTCCAGTATCACTGATATTGAGTGCATGCTTATAAGTAGTGTTTCATTTGGCTAACCATCCAAATTCCTTTGTACTATTGTCTCTTTAGGAGATGCTGACAGTTTCAGCAAAGTGCGACCTCCAGGAGAAAAACCAACCATCATCCGTCCCCCAGTGAGACCCCCAGACCCTCCCTGCCGAGCAGCTACTTCCCAGAAGCCAGAACCAAAACAAGATGTTATGGCTGGCAATGCAGGGGAAATTCCATCATCTGTGTAAGTAGGGTTATTATTCAACTTTGTCCTAAGGCTTGTCTTAGGCCACCAGCAATGCTTGCAGTATTACCATATATGGCTGTAAAAGGTGTACGGTATACAGCCCTTGGAAATCATTCACTTTATAATCTAGGGAAATATCATAGGCTAGCCCTGTTGGGAGTATTCTATTCAATACCCAAGGCTGGGAGATTTCCCTAAAGCTGAAGTCTTGGAACCTTAGTACTTGCTAGACAATCCATTTTTCTTAGCTCCCCTGATCTCTCCAGTGTGATAAGATTACCTTGTGGTTTTAGCTCCCTTGGCTCTGGAAATTTTTTTTTCTTATTTCCTTGTTATTACTTCTGATTTTAAAGACAATGTAGTGAACAGATTTGTCCATTGTGCTTGTGCTTGAGGCCTTTTTTAATTTTTTTTAACCAAATTTTATGATTCTTAAAAATCTTCTGAAATAGCTCAGGTTCTCCAGAGAGTCTCTTTTAGGATAGGGGCTGAGCTGACATCCAGCGGGTTTACTGTGGTTTGGCTGTAAGCCAAAGGACTAGGTAAGGAGGAGCTCAGGTGACACCACCACAGCAGTGGTTTGGCCACAGCTAGCTTGTCCACAACTAGTATGGTTGATGGTTGGCCACTCTTTCGCCAGTGACCAGGACCTTGCCCTCCTGGTTTTTTTTTTTTTTTTTTTGTACTTCTTTTTTTCTATCATTGTAAAATGGGAGATGGGAGGAAGAGAAAAAAAACAAGCCTCCACAGTTTCAGCTAATTAGTTAAGTATATTTAGAAAAGTGCCAGAAATTACACTTTGAAACCAAGGACTGGTTTCACTAACTTCCCCCAAGAACAGCCTGAATAGGCAACATACTTAGACCATTTTTATTTATTTATTTTTCCAAGATGGGGGTCTATGTTGAGACCTTTCTGCCTCAGTTTCCCAGCTAGGACTACAAGCATGTGCCACTATGCCTATTCTTTTTAGACAGAGTCTCATTTTATTGACTAGAACAGTCTTGAGCTTGCAATCCTACTGTCTCGGGTTCCTGGGTTACTGGGATTCCATACATTTGCCATCACACTCAGCTTTGGGTTGGTCCAGAAATCAAACCTGGGTCTCCCAGATGATCCCAGTCTATAGAGCACAATGACTTAGCACATGCCACCATACTGTACCTACTTAGGCCATTCCAAACCAGCACGGAGCAAAGGGTACCAGCTATAGCCTTGGTGGGGGACCTATGGACCCTGTGCCATTTCATATATTTGAGTTTCTTCTCAGACCTGGGAGCTTTGCCAGCACAGGCAGGGCTTGGCATTGGTCGCTTCTGGTTCTAACTCTCCTGCTCTCTCCATTGGCCATTGATTCTCACATGTATTCCAGAAGAGCTCATGGGACTTGACTGGCTTCTGTTTGCAGGGTGGCTTCCAGGACCAGATTCTTTGAAACAGCTTCCCGGAAGACAGGAAGGTAAGAGACATAGGCAACAGAAGAGGAAACAAATCACTTTTTTTTTTGAAATTTTAACAGAGGACATGTGCACTAATCAGAGACTAACAGAGAGAGGAAGAAATCACCCCTCCCCTCCAGTGGGGCATGGTCACACTGCTATCCCTTCTTCATCTCTCTATCCTTTCATGATTTCTGACCTGCATGTTTCTTAAGCCTCTGGGTCTGGAATTCAAATTATAGGGTCAGCTATGTGGGATTTGGCTAACAACCACCAGGCTACAAAGCTGGCCCCCAAAGAACTTCTCAATAAGAGCTCAATAAGATGAGCATCCCATCTGCTCTCACTCTTACTTTCTCTTAGTTTTGTTTCTCTATAGCTCTGTGTCTCTCTTTGTGTTTGATATCTTTTCCCCAATTTCATCTCTCCACCTCTTTCTGTCTCTATTTGTCTCTCATTTTTTCTCACTCTATGTCTTTGTCATTCTCAGTCTCTTTCTGTCTGTCTTTGTTTTTCTTCACTTCTGTCTCCATTTCTTTCTTTGTCTGTTTCTCTCTGTAATCCCATCTGTCTCTTTTTCTCTGCCTGTTTCTCTTTGTCTCTATATCTGCTGTTTCTTTGTCTCTCCACCTATCCATTTATCTCTCTCTGCTTCTCTTTCTTTATCACAAACACACATGCACACAGGTGTCTCTCCCACACACAAATGCACAAACACACCAAGCAGCAATTCAAAAACTTTTATATCTATTGTAGAGCTTATTCAGACCCCTTTATATTCTAAAAGGGCAACTTACAGGGTTATATATAATATAGCATTCTAATATAAACAGCTCATTTCAAAGGTAAACATTTTAATTAGGCAAAATTAAAATGGCTGCACGTCTAAATTACCTAGAAAACTTGGAGAGAAAAAAGTCAGATTCCTGGCTTCTACTCTAGACCTACTAAAACAGAATCTCTAAGCGAAGAGCTTGGGAATTCATTTTTGTTTGTTTGCTTTATTCTGTTTTTTCTTTCCTTCCTCCCTTCTCACCTTCCTGCTTCCTTTTCCTTCTCTCCCTTTCCTTCATTCTCCCTCATATCTTTCTTTCCTGTCTTCCTACTTTCCTTCCTTCTTTACCATTAGTTTGTTTTAAAAACTTCCCAGATGCTGATACAGATTGTCCAAGGTCTGGTATTTGGGACCGTTTGGGCTAGAACACCTGGACAAATAGTTGCTTAGTCTTCAGGTATTCTTCTGTGAGTTTGTCCCATGTTGCTTATCAAATTGTTTAAAATTGTGCATCCTGACAAGTGATAGAAGTGTAACTCTTCTAGATGGTCAGTTAAAAGCAGAGCAATGTGCCTTTACCATCAGTGGAACTGAGTAGGTTTGCTTTCCTCTACTCAAAACTGTGTGACCTGATTCACCAAGAAATAACTCTACACAGCAGGTCACACTACCTTTGCTTGGCAGTGAGCCACAGGGAGCCCTAAGTTGGGCCAAATTCTCTTTTATGATAATTCCATTTAGTCTACCATAATATATGAAAGTGAGATCAAGCTCCCAGATTTTTCTTACCAAAGCATGAAGATAAATGTTTTTATCTAAAATGTTATTTAAACAAGGCTTAACCCAGTGTCTATCTTCAGAAAGAAAAGCAAATGGGGTAGGGAGAATATAAGGGGAAAGAAGAAGGAGAGAAAGGGAAATAAAGAGAGAGCACCTAATATTCTTAATAAGGTACCCACCTATGAGTGGGACTACTTCCTAATAGTCCTTCTTCCCTTCCTAGAAAAAGCAGTTTGAGAAATAAAATACCAAGGAAATGAAATGAGGTAAACTTGAATGAACAGAATAAACTAGGTATATCTAAAAGAAGGCTATTTAGAGGAGGCATTAAGGCTTGAAATATAGGTAGAAATACAAGAAAACTGTGGAGTGATTGATCTGTAGCCTTGGATAAAAAAAACAAGGTTTTAAAAAGGAACTAGGTAAGAGGCATGAAGAAAGCCTAATAAAATATTCAAGGTAGGCAAACTTCTAATAGGGAAGCTATAGCCAACCTGGTGATAAGTGAATGAAAAACTTGGTAACCACTACTAACAGGCTGGTTTTTTTGTTTGTTTGTTTTGTTTTGTTTTTATTTTTTTGAAGCCATTTCTCAGCGAAGTCATATATAATCATAATTTAACAGGACTCTGGCCAACACAAACACTTCAAGCTCAAGTACCACTCTAGCTGCCCTATATTTGCCCTATATTTAATCCTGTTCTTTATCCCAAGAGTCCATCTTGGCAGGAGTGTAGGCAAGACCAAAGTGGGTACACCTGCTCTCTAGTATCTCATGAGTCACCCTCTTAGGTCCCATAATCTCTTCCAACTCAGCATCTACATAGGGAACACATCCCTTCCCCCTGGGCCTCCACCTTATAACCACCACTTGCATCAGTGCATCCACATACTGGCCACTGATCAAGATCACAAGACTAGTCACACAGTCAATCTCATCTATAGTCATTGTTCCCAAGCTCTCTAGTGAAAGTGACCATCTGCCTAACCTTTGTCCTCCATTTTTTTGCTTCCCATTTGTATACCTGATTCTAGCTATACATTTAATGTCATCAATCCCTCATTCAAATCCCTCATTCATTTCCCTTTTGCAGCAATTAAAACAAAATTAACTCAAAAGAAAATGAAGAGAGGGAAGGACATTTCAGAGAAGCAGAACAGCTTATGCAAAACAGGTTCAGAAATGACTAGTTTTCCACTTTCACTAGAATGTTGGCATTAGAGAGGGGACCTTGGCTGAAGGTGAGAACAGGGAGACAGATTGGGGCTAGACCTTGAAGGCTTTATACTAAAGTGTTTGGTTTTTACATGGTATTCCATGTGTGTGTGTGGAGGGGGTTAACAGAAGTCTTTAAGCTTTAAAAAATTGATGCTGCACTTACCGAGTTGTAAGAGGATCACTTTGTTGGTAGTGATAATGATAGATGGGAGAATAAAGACTGGAGGCACAGAGACCAATTAGGGAGATCAATTGTCCTGAAAAGAGTTGATGAAGCCCTGGTCTATGGTATTGCCAATATAAACAGAATAGGAGGGGCAGATTTGAAATAGGCTCAATAATACTTACTGACTTTAAAAACATAGGACATGGGAGGACTAAGAGAAAAATTTCTAACTTGAGCTAATAATTAGAAGGTACAATCATTTTAAAAGAATTATTTATTTCATAATATTATTATTTTAATTTTCTATAGAGAATGTGTACTCACCAGAGAGAGAGAGAGAAAGCAAGAAAATAAGCTGCCAGATCCTGGACTCAAGCCACAGTCAGCCACGTGGGAGTCCAGCAACTTAATGACCACACCAGCTGCTAGCCCTGATGGTACAATAATTAATCATGGAAGAGCAGGTTTTATGCGAAGTTGTCCTGCTCAATTTTGGATATGACAGCTTAAAAACACTGTGGTTGTGGGACATCCAGGTATAGGTAGCCTGTGGGTAACTGCAATGTAGGCTACTAGTTGAATCTGGACTTATAAAGGGGTAGAACTATTGAGTTCAGCCACTGTATAACTCTGGGGCCAGGACACACTCATATATACTACAATGTGAGTAATAGCCCTTTGAGGGAAGGTCTCCAGTATTTGATGGCAATTGAAACCATGGGTAGGAATAAGATCATTCAGGAAGTAGGCTTAAACAGACTCAAGAGAAGAGAAAAACAGAAGGCTGGGAACATAGCCCTGGGGACTAGCTGTTGTGAAGGATGCTCTAGCCACACTTTAAGAAGCTTTATTCTCCAGGGTTATCTCTTCTTAGCTGTCTCCAGACAAGGCTAATATAGGATTGAGCACATCAAGAGGCAAGGAAAGACTGATTTGGTCTTCAAGGCAAAGGAAAATTCATGTTTCACAAGGTACTTTCCCTGACTCTTCACCCTTCTCCCTACTAAAGATAATCACAGAGTATAGTCCGAGGTCTTGGGCTAACTTCTCTGGGCTCTTCTAGCCTCCCGTAGTCTAGCACTCAAATAATGGTTCTGGCACAAGAAAGATGTCTTCATGTCTAGGATACTAGGTTCTCTAAACCTGCCAGAAAAGTAGCCCAGCCAGTAAACATGGAGACAGATACTTAGAAATGCTTTGAAATATTTGGATAAAATTACTTATGGATACTAAGGTAGACTCTTGGCACCTGTTAAAATATCAAAAAGCAAGTAATTTCCCCCTAGACCCAAGAGGCTAGCCTCCTTGGCACTGGTAATTGAAGGGACCCCTCTCCCCTTGCTTTGCCTTTCTAGTCTTGGTTTCCATCTTCTTAATGAAATAATCTTTCTCCCTTTGCTCACAGTTCTCAAGGCAGACTTCCTGGAGATGAAAGTTGAAGCCTCAGGTATGAAGTCTCCACCCCTAACTACAGAACCTTGCTCCCTATAAACCTTTATAGGATCTGTCTTTTGTTTTGTTTAAGGTCAGGTTTTAAAAAAGAGTGAGAGCAAGAAAGAGAGGGAGACAGAGACAGGAATCTTTGACAGGGTCTTCATACCACAATCTTCTTTTAACCCTGCAGCTAGCCAGGCTCACGGGAATACCATACTTGGGTATACCCAGTACACAAACCTAAAATACATACGGCTTCTAGCACTGTGCAACAGCACTCCTACTGCCTGTGCCACCATGACTGGTCCTAAGACCGTAGTTTTTGAGGACTGGAATACTATATAGGTCTAGAGGATGGGAACTTGTTTTTATACCATTCATTTTCTTATAATTACATGAGTCTTAAACTTAGTGGCTTTAAATTCTGAGGTTTTCTATGATTTAAGTTACCTTTCTTTCCCACTCCCCCAGCCCAACTACAGTATAGTTTTCCAGGCTGCCTTTGAATCAAATTCATTAGAAATCCTAATCTTGGCAAATGCATTTCTTTCTCTGAGCCTCAACTTTTCAGTCTGTAAAATTATAAGGTGGGAACTTACCAATTCTGACATCTCTTGTTTCTAGAAGGAAATAAATACTTCCTTTTTTATTCTTTTTTGAGAGGTTTTTGCTATAGGATGCGTGTGCTCACCAGAAAGACAGAGAGAGAGAGAAAGAGAGACAGAAAGCAAGAAATCACTCCCCTGGGGGGATGGCCACACCGCAATCCCTTCTCCTCCATTCTCCTCTCAGGATCTTGGGCACACACGCACACACACCCAGCGTGAGTTTAAGCCACCAGGTCCAGGAAATGAACCACGGTTGACTACATGGGAGTCCAGCAACATAGCCATTATGCCAACTGCTAGTCCCCGTTTTTGGTATTTTAAAAATTGCCAAGAGGGTACGTTAATATCCATAAAGGGATCTAATATCCTTCGACAAACTCTCTATTTCACTGTTACCTATGTGAACCTTCATCCTTAATCCTTTATATTTGTCTAATGAAAAGTACATTCATATCCATTATCTCATTTGATCTATATCATATGCCAGAAGTAGGGAAGATAGTAGGTGTTCTACCTCAACAAATAAAAGAACTGAAGTCCAGAGGGAATGAGTGACTTGCTAAGGTTGCAGGAGACTTGAAGGTCAGGAAAATTTCTTTTTCTGCTGTGGAGTTCAAATTGTTTGATTATCAGATTGCTGGCATGACATGAATCAATACACACAATATATGAGATCCAAGTACCTGGAACTTGGCTTTCCATGTACTCCTTGCCTTCCTTATCTTTTATCATTGCCAGTCCTCAGAGGTCCATAGTAGATAAGCTTTCACTTATCAGCTCCCGTGGAGGTGAAGTCCCAGTAAAAGGAAGTCTAGAGATACTACAGAGCCATAAAGACAGTGGGAATCATGCAGGGGGTAATCTTGGAGGTTCTAGTATCAATCTCCTGCTTCTCTAGATAGACTTTTGGGAATTAAAGTTGAGATTAAAGGCACAAAGTCTCTAGCCCTGATTATAGTACCATTTTAGGCCTATTTCATGGGATATGAGTTAATAAAGGCCTTTTCCCAGACAATCTCTGTTGCTTAGAAGATTAGCTGCCAATTATAAGCTTAGCTATGACCAAGAGTGATTACCATCTTAACTAATTCCCTAATCTCTCCTTTGCCTTTCAGATTTTAAAAGCCTTGGCCACAGGGGACCCACTCAAGGTTCTGAAATGGTCTTATTCAAACCCTTGTGTGCTGAGTCATTTTATGCTGAAGAGCAGCTCCTTCCTGGCCCTGCACCTTTAGGTTCTGGAAAGCCATTAAATAAGGAGCACATGTCCTAGATACTCATTAATTTTTCCTTTGTACTATGTCATCATCCCTTCAGAAGGTCTATCTTGAGTTCCTATAGCACTGTGAATGGCTGGACTCCTACAAGCCAGACTTTGCCAAAACCAAGATATCCACTGACCTGAGGTAAAGAGGGGAGTCCAAGTTTGAACTCTTCACTGAACTTCCTGCTTCCTCAAAAGACCATCAAACTCTGGAAGATTTGGGGCTAAAGACTAATCTCAGGGATCTTACCCTGAACTTTAGTTGGGGCCATTTCCTACCTTAGTTGAAGGGGAGAAGGAATGCTTGCTGAACATTGAAGAATCCGTGTCTCTTGCTGAAGATATGGACAGCCATGCCAAGTTCGCACTCTGGCATTACAACATGTTGCCAAGGGCTGTCTTCTCCTGTGGTGCCACATAGCATGGGTGATGCCTCCACAACTTCTCTATGTGGACTTGAGAAGGCAGCCTTCTTGCTTTTACATAAAACTGCTTAAGAAAATTTTGTAAAGCACATTTTGCATGTCAAAGCCTACATGTATTTGGATTATTCTTCCTCCTGTTTTCTCCTATCAACTTCTTTTCCATGTTACTTAGAAAAGTATCAAAAGCTAAAAACATTTAAGGACCAGCAGATGGTTTAATGGCTACATCACTGGACTCCCACATAGTTGATTGCAGTTTGAGTTTGAGACCTGGTGGTTTAAAACTCACGTCAGACATGCATGTATGTGTGCCCAAAATCCCAAGAAGAGAATGGAGGAGAAAGGATTGTGGCATGGCCATCTCCTCTGGGGATGTGAGTTCTTGCTTTCTGTCTCTCTGTCTCTCTATGTCTCTCCACTGAGCAAACATACCCTATAGCAAAAAATCTCTCAAAAAAATTTTTAAGGCAGACTGTATTTGTCCTGTAGTTGGTCCCTTTTAGGGCCAAATGCTAGGAAAAACTGTTAAGATGAACTGAGGCCAGGTAACTGTCACTGTTGCTTCATGTTTGCCTTCTGCAAATAAGTTATTTTATCTGAAAAAAAGCAGTTCTTAACCCAGTGTCCATGGATTCAGGAATTCTCTGATGCCTCACTCAAGATGATATGTGGAATTCTATGACAAGATGTCTTCTGGGATGTAGTGCATATTATTCTACTGAATTTCAGATGAGCTTATAACCTAATAAAGTTTAAGAACTACAGCCGCTGAGTTAAAAGACTCTTTATAGACATGAAACATTTGATTGAAAGGGCCTTTAAAAATCATTTAGTCTAGTTTATAGTTGAGGACACTGAGGAAGATCAAGTTAGTAAACATGTCAGGACAAGATCTCAGGTCTCTGGGCTGCTATGCTGGTTTTCTTTCTTTTTTTTTTTTTCTTTTCTTTTCTTTTTTTTTCCCCACCACACTTACCCAGAAAGGGACCCTATAGTTGATGGATTTAGTGACCATTGTTTTTGGAGTTTGACTTTTACCTTCTTTCTTGAGCCCCACACATTTTCCACAAAGAGGAAAACTTTAAGACATAGCCCCTGGCCCCCATCATTTATTATCTCAATCATTGAAAAAGCACTCACACAAAATTGGTGCTGTGGTTCAGAAATCTGAGAAATAGCCATTTTTGATTCTTGTTTGTCAAAGGAAAACTACTAGAGAGCATGTCAAGTGCTTGCGTTCCCATGTGGATATCCCATTCAGTTTGTGTTATTACAATGTGACCTGGTGTGAGAGAAAGGTCTTTCTTACTTGTACTCTTCTAGTAAGGTAGTGCTAGCACATTGATTGTCATACTGAGAGATAAACATGTATAGAGAGTGGACATGCATGTATGCCCAAACCACCTCTGAGATGCCTTGGGAACAATGTTACTGAAAGGCGGTAATCACTTTTTTTTTTGGTGAGGTTTTTGCTATAGGGTGCATGTTCTTGTCAGAAAGACGAGAGACAGAGAGACAGAAAGTGAGAAATCACTCCCCAGGGGGGCATGGCCACACCACAATCTCTTCTCCTCCATTTTCCTCTCGGGATTTTGGGCATGCATGCACACGTGTCCGGCATGAGTTTAAGCCACTGGGTCTGGGACTCGAACTGCAGTTGACTACATGGGAGTCCAGCAACATAGCCATTATGCCAACTGCTCACCCCAATTTTCAAGACTTAACTCCAAACATGATTTTTTTTTTATTAGTGAGTTAGGAAAATATCAGCCAAACACACCAAGGGCCTTTATGTAAATAATTGAGTGGAAACTTGGTGCCATTCTAAATCAAGATATGCCCAGGTGGCCACATTGAACTCTCTGAACTCTACCCAGTCTCAAAGGCCAAGTTGCTAAGTAACCAGGAGCAAGAGAGCCAGTTAGTCATCATTCCTCCTGATACTTATCCCCAGAAGGAGTCTCTCTGAGATCTGCTGGTCTCACCCAGGAAGTGCTTATCGAGCCTTGGTTTCAGAGCTGTTATCTTCCTACCCTGTCCTCTTATATGACTAACTAAAACAAGGAGATGTGCAGAAATTCTCCAAAAAAGCAGTATCCAATGTGGCCTCAGTATGTTTGATAGCAGACATGATTTGACTCTGGTTTTCTTGGGAGAAAAAAATACCACAATCACCACTACAAATATTGAATAATTACTGACAATCAGATAAAGCCACTGTGATCCCAGTGGAATATGTGTCCCAGAAATGTGACTGAGATTACTGTATGTTTCTGGGATTCAGAATAAGAAGCTAACCTGGAATTGGGACCACTGTTATGACTGGAAGCAAAAGAGCAGTGGTTGGGCAGTTCTGTCCCCGTGCTGGACTCTACCTAAAGAATGCCAAAGAATTAAACTCAGTACCTCCCTGTGGCATTCTGCTTTAAGAGAAAAAGGTTCTTTGGCAAGGAATGCTGTCATAAAATGAGACTGGCTTGGCCTAGGCTTGATGGATGGATAGTCATTCAGAAGATGCTTTGGAAAGAGGGTGCTAATTGAAGAGTGGCAGCTATAAGAAATTACCAACATACCTTGGACAGCAGTTTAGAGGAACTAGCAATGGATGAACTCTAAGTCTTGAACTGGCAGTGAAAACAAAGGACTTAACATTTACTAAGCACCTACTAAGTGCTAGGGTTCATATACATCAGCTCATTTCATCCTTACAGCAATCATGCAAATATTCTTATTTTATAGATTAAAGTATTATGACCTAGTGGGCTAAAGTAACTGGCTCAAGGGCACATAGACAATAAGGAACAGACCTGTGATTTGAATCTAGACCTCTCCGCTGTACGACATGCTGTTTTCCCTTTGCCACGCTGAGATGGGTGTTTGAACAGAGGTCACATTACTGGAGTCAACATGACTCTTAGCTCTGGCCTTCCTAACAAAATATTTAAAGGCATAAGGACAAGAGATAACTCAGGTCCAGTTTAGAGAAGAATGAAAACTGGGTTGGAATATATTCCTGAGTTGGGCTTTCTCTTCACCTTCAATTTACTCATTTGGTAATGTTTTTAAAAGGAACATCTAATTTTGTGAAGTGAAGGATTTATTTTGTAGTTTGCAGTTCTTAAGTCCTTGGATTAGCCATTTTCCAAAGGGAAAAAAGGTCCTTGTACATGTCTTTGTACTTTGCCAAGGTTGTAACTTGTGCAATTTTAGCCCAAGAGACTAGAAGTATCCACATATGCAGCTCTGGGAGCAGGGAAGGTCTTGGTGCCTCTATGGTACTTGATGCCTTGGGGTTAAACCTCTACAAAGCTATAGGTTTCCTGTGGTGATAGCAAAAGTCAAGAAATGGTCTACAAAAATAAATATTATTAAATTTTATTTTTTTAAGTTTTTTTTTAAGGTGGGGGATGTCTAATTATTGAAGGGAAAAAGCCAGCACCTAAGTTCAATAATAAAATGATATCATGTAGAGTATTTCTGACAGAATTGGCTATCAGGGGAAAGAAGCCTTCCCTTTTCAAGGAGTTCCCTGATTCTGTAATAAGTAGAATGAATAAAGTGGTAGAAGAAGTTTTATGACTAGAAAAAAAAATGCTTTTGAGAAGATGTAGCTCAATGATGGTATTTTAAAGTAGCTATAGACAAGTGACCTTGACGATTTACAAACCCAGAAAAATCTTCATAAACAATTTTAAAAATTGTAGAGAAAAGGCAAGATCCCTTAAAGAGACATTTTTTGATGAAGAAAAGACTTCATTTTCATGGGGAAATGTTCCATTTAATGCCAAAGACACAAATAGAAGAGTATAAAGTTTATCTGTGTTGGGACCAGCAGATGACATAATGGTTATGTCACTGGACTCCCACATAGTCGACCATAGTTTGAGTTCCAGACCCATGGCTTAAACTTCACACTGGGCACCTTTGTGTACGTGCCCAAGATCCTGAGAGGACAATGGAGGAGAAGGGATTGTGGTATGGCCATCCCCACTGGGGGATGATTCCTCACTTTCTGTCTCTGTCTCTCTCTCTCCAGCAAGCACATGTGTCCTATAACAAAAATCTCTCTTTAAAAAAAAGAAAGAAAAAGTTTTCTTGTGTTAAATGCACATGTGACATCAGAAAAAAAGATCCTAGGGTCCATCCATGTGACTTTCAATAAAGTATGCAGATGGTCTAGTATAAATGGTCTTCATATGTAATTTTATCATAGACGTAACCTTTGAGCATATCCAACATGATGGAGCAGCAAATGTGTACTGCTCATGTTGCGTTCTATATATCTAAGGAAATGAAAGTGCAGAATTCTTTTGGACCTAGAAATCTATTGTCTACTTTAGGCATCTATACCCATGTTATTCCCTCAGGCCTCACTACATCACTAAGTGATAAGTGACAGCCTAATCTTACAGATAAGGTAACTTGAAGCCTAGGGAGATGAAAACTGATTGCCCAAGATCACACAACTAGGAATTTATCAAATCCAGGACTTTCTGTTTCTAATATACTACACTGTTCCCAATAATACATACAAGAAATCTCAAAAGTAAATAGAGAAGATGCTTAGAAATATGCAAAACTGGGACCAGCAGTTAGTGTAATGGCTATGTTGCTGGACTCCCATGTAGTCGACTGCGGTTCAAGTCTCGGACCCGGTGGCTTAAACTCAGGCTGGGCACATGTGCTTGCGTGCCCAAGATCCCAAGAGGAGAATGGAGGAGAAGGGATTGTGGCATGGCCCTCCCCCCTGGGGGGTGA